TCCCAATGATCTTAGTCTCGTGAACGCTGGGTACTCTTGAAAGTAGTGATGAATTGGCTCGACCTACTCAAATTCCAGGCAACTGCGGCACACCATTCGGACAGTAAACCGTCAAAATCCCCACCAAGATTTAGAGCTGTGGCTCTGTAAGTGTGAGTAGTGTTCTCGGCTGCCCACTGTCCCCCCTTGGCTAAAGGACCTTGCAATCAAGAGTGTATCACTGGCGATCAATGGCCGCTCCAACCGCACTTATCCAATGATAAAGCTTAAAGAGTACCTTTCCTAACCAATTCGCCGGCCACATAGTTAGTATCCTGCAATGATGCTGTAATCCCAAATCAGCCTAATACAGAAGTATTCCGACGTAACTGAAAGAGAGAGCAGACGTTTCTTAACTAAATTAGAGCACACCTCCAACGCACTTAAGGCCGTGGTAGCCGCTTGGCTATGAGAATAAATTCTCACGTCCCTAACTGTCATCGTACTCTTGAGCAGTAACTCCACTGCCTTCTTAATAGCAGCTACTTCTGCCTGAATCCTGAATTTAATACTGATGGAAAGCTCTCGACAGAAGACTCCACCATTAACCCAACCTCTGAGGGGAGGGATAATACTTTCAAACACACTTTCTTTACCTAACTTTATCATGCTTGCGTAAAGGCTTGAAGATGACTTTAGGACTGAATGTGATGAGATATTGATAGTTACCTAGGATGCAGATGAACTTTTGCACTCAGCACATTCGAACTCAGTACTCAATTTGTAAAACGTCCCTTTGACTCGGCTTTTGGTTAATGAATCGCTTTCACCGCAAATTGATGACCATTGAATGCCTCCCGAAAGATAGAAATTTTTGAATTTCAAAAAAGTAAGTTAATTTATACGGTGTTTATGTAGTATAATGTAAATAGTTGCCCTTCGATAAAAATACAAGCATGTGATTTTCTTAATATATCGCGTTGAGTAAACAAATTTACTGTCTTGCTTTACGTAGTACATTACACAAAAAATAAAATCGCTCTTATGGTCTGNAAGTAGCTAGACAGAAGACCCCTCCATCAAAACTGCCTCTGAGGGGAGGGATAATACTTTCAAACACGCTTTCTTTACCTAAATGAACTTTTGAACTCAGCACATTCGAACTTAGTACTCAGTTTGTAAAACGTCTCTTTGACGCGGCTTTTGGTTAATGAATCGCTTTCACCGCAAATTGGTGACCATTGAATGCCTCCCGAAAAATTTTTTAATCCCATAAAAGTAAGTTGAATTATACGGTATTTATATATCTATGTTTATAGTATAATGTAAATAGTTGCCCTTCGACAAAAATACAAGCATGTGATTTTCTTAATCTATCGCGTTGAGTAACCAAATTTACTGTATTGCTTTACGTAGTACATTACACAAAAAATAAAATCGCTCTTATGGTCTGATTATGGCAACTTAACGTAACTTATAGGCTCTCACTTAAAAATTATCTTAGATGGATGTTGCCGAAACTTAATGCCATGTCGAAATCTGTTTCATTTTGATTTTCTAAGTCCTAAGTCCCGCTAATTTAAGCTAAGTTGCCATAATCAGGCTCTTAAACTTTAGCTGACGCATAAACATTAAATTCTTCATAAAAATACTGCTACTTAAACACAATTTTTTACTATCCGCGTGCCCAGCGAGCACTTGTCATTCTTCTTCAACCTCATACAGACTATCCCATACTTGCAGCTTATGCATCTCCGGCAACTCGATAACTTCTAAATGTTCCCCCACATTCAAACAATGCAGTTTTCCATCTGACTGCAATGGCATCCATTTGCTCTCACCGAGCTTTTCACAGCTTGGATCTGAGTTTGCAGCAAATGATGTCCAAATATCAATTTTACGCTGGATTGTACGAAATTCCGGTGTATCCTTATCCAACTTCCAGGCAAAGTTGCCATAGAAAAGATATGAGTGATCATCAACATGAGAAACTCCGCGTACTTCCTTGCCGCAGTAACCGATGCGCTGATGATTAAATTCGGGCGAATCAAAGTCGAAACGGTAGAGGTAGGTGGGTGCGCGTGCGTGTCGTAGACGTGCCTTTACGGTGCGTAATATGGGATGCCAGAATACTTTATAGGAAGCGTACTAAAATCGAATAGGTGAAAAACAAAAATCAGTGAAATAATATAAAAATTTACATATAATACCCGACAAAAACTCACCTCGCAATAGTTGAGCACATGCTCCATGCGCAGCTCCTTTTCGGCAAAATGTGTTTCACGCAACTTTGAAGCCAATTCCTTTTGCTTGTCTAGATCATGCTTCTGCTTCAATTCCAGTGGCAACATGTGCTGATGATTCTCATTCAGTTCGTGCAACAAATAGGGTGCCATGTGTATGCGCGCAAACATCAGAAGGCCCTCAAAGGATGTGCCACTAATTATGAGTGGTATGTCGTTGCCCCAGGCATTTGCGAACAAAGTGTGCGGCTGTTTTGGTATAATACAGTTGTCTGTTAGATACGGTTCTACCACAGGGCCAAATGCGAATAGACAATCATCCATATTTTCCTCTCTCGTCAACAAATACGGACGTACTAACTCCTCAGCGGGCAAATGTTGCAGATAATCTAGCACACTTCGAACGCTTCCATCGCCAGTATAGCCATTTGCTTGCGCCAGGCGCTTTGGTAATTCTTTGACTGGTGAGAGCGCCCATGGACATAGAACTGTGCCTGACATTAGTATCGCTTTGTGGAAGAGTCCTTTGGCTAACGGTGTGAGCATCATATAATGTGTGGATGCAGCACCAGCGCTCTCACCGAAAAGTGTTATATTTTTTGGATTACCATTGAAAGCGCTTATATTATCAGCAACCCACTGGAGCCCGAGTAGCTGATCCTTGAGGCCGGCGTTGCCAGGTACACCAACTGCGGGATCAGGTAGGCTGAGAAAACCTGGAGGTAAAAAAATTACTTATAAGAGATATACCGTATATAAATGTACATTAGGGTGCATCACTCCCCATAAAAAAAAAAACAGTCGAAATTATAAAGAGATTTACTTGAGCAAGATCGATTTGAAAACATCTCCAAAAAACTTATCATTTTTATTACGTTGATACCATTTTTAACAATTTGTATAGGGACCTATTTAGTTTTGATAACAATGATAACCTGAAGCCCAGGGTCACTCTTTAATAGTAAATAAATTTTGCTTCATTCCGATAACACAGACCGTAGCGCTTTGATATCGGTTCCAGAAAGCTACTTTAGCCCAAGAATCTCAAGCAGGGAGGAGGTTAAAGAAGGTATTAACACTCCACTCGATAGATAATATTGACGTATATACAGATGGCTTGAAACTCGACGGTAAGGTAGGTGGGGGCCTGTTCTTAAGAAACCGTCCTCTTAAAATTTTTTGTTAGGTTACTGCTAAGAATCTTTTAACAGAACTGATTGGAAGAGATGTGTTCATTTTTAATAATAGCCAGTCTATATTCGAAGCTCTGAGCGCTTCCACGTTTTGGTCAAAGATTGCGCTGGACTGCCGTCTATCTCAACAAGAGATGGCCAAGCAGAACAGACTTCACCTCACTTGGGTCCCTGTTCATAGGGACCTAGAGGTAAACTGTATGACGGACGAATTTGCAAGGCAACTACTACGTACATAGATACAGAAAAGGATTAAGACAAAAGTAAAAATAACAAGTAATTTTTAGCAAAAAAAAACCGAATCTCATATAAAAAATATATATATACATATATATCTCATGATCCCCTGATCGGATCTGAACCAGATTAGTATGGGACCACCTCTGAGACGCAAACTTTTCGATAAAAAAAATTATTAATTATCTAAATCGGTTCACGTGGTCCAAAGTTATGCGGTAACATACATAAAAAAACAAAAAAATATATTCCGACGAACTGATAACCTCCTCCTTTTTTGGAAGTCGATTAAAAACTAAAACAAAGATGCGTAAAGATGAAGACAAAAATGAAGACCAAGGTAAAATTAAACACTTTACTTATATAAGCGCAAAGGTGAAGGGGAATATGTAGCTGAAGAAAGTGATAAACCTAAAAGTAAAGACAAAGAGGAGGATGAGGATACCGATAAAAGTAAAGATGAAGATAGGGGAAGAAAGATTAAAATAAAGGTAATAAAAGAGGAAAGGATATGAAGAGAGACTCAATCTGGGAACGGTTTGGGATTTTAGAGATTTTCGGGACTTACCGATAAAATAATCGATATTTTTATCAGTTTTCTTATTATTGTTTATATCGATATTGCTATCAATTTTGCTATCGATATTTTCGGAACTTATCGACATAATAGTCGATATTTTTATCGATTTTGTAATCGATATTTTCATCGATTTTTTATCGATATTTTCAGCTATTTTGTTAGCGATATTTTTTATCGATTTTCTTATCGATATTTATCGTTTTTTTAGCGATATTTTTATCGGGTTTCTAATCGATTATTTATTGATTTTGTTATCGATATTTTTATCTGTAGCTTTATCGAATTTGTCATCGGTTCAGTTATCGATATTGTATAGATTTTTTTATTAATTATCTATCGATTTTGTTATCGATTATGCATAGATTATTTAACGGTTTTGTTATCGAATTTTTTATCGATTTTGTCACCGATTCGTTATTTGTTATTTATCGGATATGTTATCGATTTTGTTATCGATTATTTACTGATTTTGTTATTGATTTCGTTACCGATTATTTATCGATTTTGTTATTTATCGTTTTTATTATGAATATTTTTATCGATAGTTCTATAGATTTTTTAATCGATATTTGGTGCTATTTTTATCAATTTGGTTATGGGTATTTTTATCGATTTTCCAATCGATTTTGCTACCAATATTATTATCGACTTTGCTATCGAAATTTTTATCGAATTCGTTATCGGTTTTGTTATCGATATTTTTCATCGGTTTTGTTATCGAAATTTTGACGGATGTTGCTATCAACTTTGTTGTCGATAGAGTATAAAGATAAAAATGAGGATAAAGTAAAACAGAATAAAATAAATGTAATTAGAACGAACAGGGGTAGAGGCAGGGATCTCGATAGAAAAAAGACAAAAAATATAACCTTAAGCAGAAGCAGAAGCAGATGTTTGTATGTATGTATGTATGTACGTATATTGGTTATGAGACAAAATGGATATGTAACGTAAGTTTCACTTCTCCAGTGTGGCCCTGGCGCATTTTCTTTTCTTTAAGCTTGTCAATTGCAAGCAACCCTCTTATGTGAAAGTAAAAAAGAAAACAATTTTTGAAAACTATAAAATAATTTACATGAAAAACTTAAAAAAGCTAATTAGCAATGTTAACAAAAGTATTCAAATTAAAAAATGTTACGAGTCTTACGAAATAGCGCAAGATGAGCTTAAAAAATTTTATACAAACATATCTCATTTTGAAAACGACTAGCAGGGCAAATAAACTATCTACGTTTGTGCGCATAGAATAAGTAGGTACTCGTTTCGCATGATTTACGCTATTTTGTTGCTGACAGTGAGGAAAATTTACGTGCTACTGGAACGTGCTACATTTTCACGAGATAAATTAAAGCATGGAATAGTAAATAATATTAAATTGTATAGCTAAAAATATACATATTGTATTTTATACAGTTATGCATGGAATTCAATAATTGCTAGTTTTCGTTGAAACTTAACTCTCTCACAAAATAAAGTAATGACGCTACTTTCAGTTTATATGTACACTAACATGAGTATATGCCTACATATGTACATATGTACATATATACACCATGCATTTACGCACATAANATATACATGAGTATATTCCTACATATGTACATATGTACATATATACACCATGCATTTACGCACATAAATAGTATGGTTGTGTCAATCTGCTTAAAGCACGTCTAATAATAATTCACCCACCTAATGGTCCCAGTCGATACGCTATTGTGACCAATATTACGTCTTTCATCATAAAATAATCTGGACCATGTAGATCGCGTGTAGGATCACCCCTTTCGAAGCCACCGCCATAGAGGAAGACCATAACTGGTAGAGGTTTGTCAGATGCAAGCTAAAGTTGAATAAATAAATATTTGCATATTATATATGTATGTGAATGAAAAATGTAAGCGATAAAACTTGAAATACAAAAAAATTAGTTATAAGAAAATAATCAGTGTATCAGTGTACTTAGTATGTTTCTCTCAAAGCATGATTTAGATATAGTGACATGAGCAGTCATCGATTCGCCAACAGTTACCGAGTGGCGAAACGAACGAACTCAATGTGGTACAACCAAACTCGCTATCGTCTATCCGCGCTAGATAACTTTGTTGTTGCTTTCACATGCAAAATTTNTGACATGAGCAGCCATCGATTCGCCAACAGTTACCGAGTGGCGAAACGAACGAACTCAATGAGGTACAACCAAACTCGCTATCGTCTATCCGCGCTAGATAACTTTGTTGTTGCTTTCACATGCAAAATTTTTCGTTAAGCGACCGAAACTCAAACATATTTAGTAAGCAGCGAAGTGGCGAATCGATGACGGCTATTATACATTTAATCTATCAATTTTTGAGAGAAATGTAATTAGCTGTGTATTTTTTTTTTCATTGCATAGCTTAACAGATTAAAAAAAACTAGGAAAAGTTGTTTAATATAAACAAGAGTATGATATTTTTANCATTGCATAGCTTAACAGATTAAAAAAACTAGGAAAAGTTGTTTAATATAAACAAGAGTATGATATTTTTATAATATAATACATAACTTTCTCATCGTTTGTCTTTATTTTAGAATAGAGTGCGATAAAAAAAAGGGACAATCAAAAGAAATGAAAACACCGGCATATATCAAAAAATATTTTTTTTGTATTTTTACGTAAACAGTAATAAAAATACGCTGTGAATAAGTGAGAAATAAATATTTTTCTGCTGAAAACCTGCTTAGCTCAGGAATGTACATGAATGCAACCAAATTTTTTATGAGAACTACCAGAAAGACCGGCTTCCATAATTTTTTAAGATTTACCACAGCCAGTTTTTGGGTGTACCCGGAAAAATTTTTGGCAAAGAATAATATTTTAATCAAAATAAGAATATCCTATCTCTCAAACTGTCGGGGAATTTTTTTTGTTAACTAAAAACTTTTGAAAATTACGGTATCGCTGCTAAAGTCATTGACTCAAAAATGGATAAGTGTGGAAAAATAAAAGAACTGGTCGTAATTACTTCACAGNGAAAGGGACAATCAAAAGAAATGAAAACACCGGCATATATCAAAAACTATTTTTTTTTGTATTTTTACGTAAACAGTAATAAAAATACGCTGTGAATAAGTGAGAAATAAATATTTTTTTGCTGAAAACCTGCTTAGCTCAGGAATGTACATGAATGCAACCAAATTTTTTATGGGAACTACCAGAAGGACCGGCTTCCATAATTTTTTAAGATTTACCACAGCCAGTTTTTGGGTGTACCCGGGAAAATTTTTGGCAAAGAATAATATTTTAATCGAAATAAGAATATCCTATCTCTCAAACTGTCGAGGAATTTTTTTTGTTAACTAAAAACTTTTGAAAATTACGGTATCGCTGCTAAAGTCATTGACTCACAAATGGATAAGTGTGGAAAAATAAAAGAACTGGTCGTAATTACTTCACAGTGGTTTTAAAAATTTAATCGTTTTTCTTTTTCGTACCGGTTACTAGTTTTGAAAAATCCGGGCTCTTAGCACTTGGTTTCAGTTTTGAGAAAAGCGGAGTACTCACGCTCACTTTTTCTATTATTTCAATTTCTAAAATGAATTCGTTTTTTTTTTTTGTACCGGCTACCAATTGCGAAATATACGAGTTTTTACTATCGGGTAACAATTTTGTAAAAAGCAGAATGGGCTCGTTAATTTTTTTATATAATAATAATACAAATTTGGCCTAAAGATTTCTCTATAAATTATTAAATTATCGCTTAGTTTAAATTTTTTAAATACTGTACTGAAAAGTGTGCGTGTTTATTAAACGATTTCAAAATTTGTCACCGCTTTTCTTAGTAATACCAAGAAAAATATATTTACCAAGTATTTAGAGATACAAAGAACTTATCATCTTGGGCTACGCTTATTCTTCAAATTTGTTTCAAAACTGATATACAGAGAAATCTTTACGAAAAATATTAATAAAAGAGACGTGACTCCGCTTTTCGCATAATTGGTAACCGATACTTAAAACCCGGATTTTTCGAAATTGGTAACCGGTACAAAAACCGGTTTCATTTTTGGAATCACCGTGAGTAATCCTTTTAGTTGTAAAGTTTCAACAAATTACGACAGGTTTTTATATATATTTCTACATTTGCACATTTGTGCATCAGAGCTAGTAGCAGCGATGCGGTAATTGTCAACAGTTTTTAATTAACAAACAAATATTTTCTTCTGACTACTGACTCCATGCATATAACATTGTGTCGAAAACGTCGGTAATGATGTTTAACTGGAAATTAGTGTTAACCAGAAATGGTGAAAATCTCCCTGAGTAACCGGTCGTAAGTGCTATATTGACTGGCATATACTTCTACATACATACATACATATGCTGAATAATTCAGTATGAAGAATTTGCACATTTTGATCACACATGTAAAAGTATCTAAAATATACCCTGCAAACCAAAGTTCCCGAAATCTTAACGAAATCTTTAGGAGTTTCTCATTTCTGTAACGATTTTTTTACGTATCTTCAAAGAAAATTATATGAAGTGGTTGACACGAACTCGTTAAGAAATTTCTGTACGAAAAATAAAGAAAATTCTTAAAATATTCTGCAAGAAATTCTTCACATTTCAGCATTATTTCAATTTAGAAAAAAAATTGGGCAAAAAATCGGTTGAGATCTTTACGAATACTATAAAATTTCTCTAAAATTCAGAATACTGTGAAAAAATGGTTTGCAGGGTAAGTTGATGTATATATATATATTAGTGTTTACTCCCATCATGCTTACCTTTTTAGCATAGATATTCAAATATAAACAATCCTCATCGCCTTCAATTTCATTTGTGCGCGGATTCTTTTGTATTGGCTTTTTGGCTTTTTGTGTACAATCCAACACACCTGGCCACGGTGTGGCGGCCAAAGGGGCTTTGAATCGCAGTGCACCCAACGGCGGCTGACCAAAGGGAATACATTCGAAACTGTAGTAATTGTCATCGTAAATGGATGTGTTGCGTTGACCTTTGAGCGTGCCCAGTGCTGTGTGCACCAACACTTCTGCATCAGGTGTGCTAATTGATGGAGTTAAGTTAACAAAAATTTTAAAAAAGAATACACCTAAATATGTAGATATGTGTATGTACGTTTGTATGTATGTGCACTTATTAATAGACCTTGACCAGCTGCACTTACTTGCTTGACATGGTTGAGCTAAAACAAAAAAAATAAATAAAAATGTTGTATGATAAAAAACTACGTCACACTCAACTTTTATTTGTTTATTATTGGAAACTTTTTAATTAAACCCGTTTTGTTGCTGATTATTTTTAATTCGTTTATAAATTTTTTTTTTAACTTCTGCTCGCTTTTGTTATCTAATTATACTTTTTTCCGTTTATCTAAGAAAATTAGCTGGCCGATGCAACTACACTCCACTATGTATCGCGAGCAACTGTTGGCCCTTTGGCACTACACATGCAATGGATCTCCTTCAATGTTTTCATATGCAAACATTATTGGAATACTCTGCCGCAGTCGAACATGTTTGGCGTCTTATCGAATATTTTTATTTACTTATTTACTTATTGTATTATGTATTTTGATTGTTCACTTTATTTGTATTTCAACTTCTATCGGCCACTTTGTTGTCGTTCACGTAGATGCATAATTTATTTTATTACTGATCAGAATGTTTTGATATGACTTTATCGGTTTTTGTTTTGCTGCAGACTCAGTGCGATTATTCATTACACTATTTCAATTATCTACTCATTCACACTTCTCACACGCCGCTCTGTATTGTTCGAGAAGTGCGCTGAAACTCACACCAGATCGCTTACAAGTAGTGTGGTATTATTTTAAGAAAGAGCGCGCCTAAATAACAAAATAAAAAAAGTGAGCTCCCCTGCTTCTCTCAGTTCACTCACATCGTCATTGCACTCACATCGTCATTGCACTTTACACTCTCTTTCAACGCTTGATTGTTCTTTAGTAGCCGGCTTATGTATAACCAACTCGTTATTGCAATGCTCTTAAAAGCTGCTTAACATAGCAATGTTATTACCTAGTTTGTTTACATTCAAAGAAATTGTGTGCAGCAGGTCAATGCCCTTGATGTTTGGCTGCAAATGTGGCATGCAATGCAGCCACGAGATTATATTCTAAGACCAAATGCGTTGTGAGATTTGAATGCACTTTTAAATGGTTCTCGTTTCGTTTTTGAGAATACCATACCAGTTTAAAACCTGATGAATAGAGTAAGAGCTTATACTCTAGTGAGTCCCGAGATTTTGGGTTCAGTAACCATTGTAAATTTCTGACTTGAAAATATAAGTTTTCAACGTAAGCTTGCAACGAGGCATGCCTAATTATTTTGTCTTATTACAGGCTGTGATTCTACGTTTAAGGAAGAACGTAACCTGAACAGGTTTTGTCACATTTGGCTTATTTCGCCAAATTTTCAGCCATGGGGGTTATATTGTTTAGGCCGTTTTGGAGCGTAAGCGAAGCGAGTTGTGGAAGGGTATCTATAGCGAGAACCGCAGTATCGTCCGCAAATGTGCCAACAATTGCTCCTTCAAATGCTGGTATGTGGAATATTCCATACTTTCACTTGAAGACTTGAAGACACCCTCCTTGTGAGTGCCCTCTTTAAGTGAGTATCAAGTACCGTACGAATTATTATCTCCGATGAAGCCGAGGAGATCCAACAGTTCCACCTCCGCTACCTTGCCCAGACCGTTGAAGAAGCGTAAACCCAAGTGCTTGAGTCTCTTCGTCTGTATACTTGGACACCGACACAGATAGTGGTCATTCTCATCATGACAACCTCTGCAGATAATACTTATTGGTATTCGCCACCGTTGAAGCATTAGTGCTATAGCACAGTAATCTTGGACCAGTGATAACGCCGGTAATGACTCTTACTGCAGATCTATTCAGCTTCAGTATGTCCGTTATCTTTTTCCCACAAAGCAGCGGCCATAATAATCTTGTGGTCTTATAGTCTTCCCATTTGTTCCAAAAGTCATTCGTTAATTTTCCTAACATGATCGCTAAACTGTGTTAGTACGGAGCTTTCCGCTTCTTCTTTTGGCATATCTGAGCCGCATCCGGCCATTTCATCAGCCGACTCATTCCCCTAAATATTTATATGTCCGTGATTAGATCATAACAGCGAGTCTTCTTAGCTTTGAGTTTTTTTGATGGCTTGCCCAACTTCAACTTTTGAGTTCTTTTTTGTATTTGTGGGTCCATTTTATTGCGCAGGGTTCAATTTCGTGTGGAGTAAACACGCTTTTTAGGTGACGAGCAAATGTGCTTGCTTTTTCGAGACCGCTTTTAGCCCACTGATTGTCTTACTTCACACTTCTTTATTGGATTAAAAATATTTCTGAATTATATTCTCCGAAAATTTCCAGTATGCTTTTTGGAGCATTTTCACTCTTTGTTTTACTTCAGAAGAGAAATGCTTCTGTCGAAGCTTGGCTATTTGTAACATTCCACATTCTGTATGTAGTTCAATTAGCTTACAATGTCTATTCCTTTGAGAAGTTACCAGTAAGCTTGAATAAATGAGCTAGATCACACATGGAAAGTGTATCACTTACACCAACAAAATAATGCCGCGAAAAATTTATCCGGCAGGTGGAGCAACCCTGCGTCTATGGCCCGATTTAGTTTATAGCATTTAGAGCAGTCACCTCTCAGCTGGCAATGGCAAACTTCCGAGTGTATTTCTGCTATGAAAAAGCTTCTTTTAAAATCCATTTGCAGTTCGGAGGCGGCGTACAACAGCAGGTCGCATGAAGTACATATGCGAAACTTTCCGAGGAGTAAGAAAACTTGGGCGAACTCATGAATCAATCATTGTAATTTCCGAAATTTAAGCTTTTTTACAAGCTTTTACTTAATTTGCTTTCTACTCTTATTTGTTTGGATCAATTCATGAAATCAACTAGAACTTCCCGACTAGAGCTAGAAACTTGAAATTTCGAACTTAGCTCAGAACCCGATGGCAATGCAATAATAAATATGAATTAATCCGCCAGGTGACGCGGGAGTCAAGATATTTGAAACGCCCATATTTATAGTCCAATTTGGTTCCTTTTTAGAAAGCTTGTTTTAAAAATATATTTTTAGTATTAACGTTAAGTCATTAGTCACGAAGAATAATGTATGCATTGCATATGACGAAAGTAAATCCAAGAGCGCTCTAAAAAATCTGCTGTATTAAAATTTGCTTCAAAGTGTTTATATCTAAGGCTAGAGCTCTAATTTCTGGGTAACGCGTCTCTTTNCGGTTTAGCGACTCAGCCACCTTGGCTTCCCATTGCTGAGGAAAATTGCGTTTCAAAGTACTTTTAATTATTAAAATTTGCTTCAATGTGTTTATATCTAAGGCTAGAGCTCTAATTTCTGGGTAACGCGTCTCTTTTTTTTTTTTGTGAAGGACAGTTGACAGATATTGATATTTTGATAATTGAAATCCACTAACTCTGTACCTTAAAAAATTATATTCAAAAATATTCATATCACATACATATATTCTACATATTTAGTTATAACAAAAATATAAAAAAATTTTATAAAAAATATTTAACACAACAAGTTTTAAGAGTAAACGAAATTCTTTACGCGGATAATATATATTAATAACGCACTGGCAAGAAACGATAACTAAGCAAGAGATTCCCTCAATACAAACTGTTGTTTGTATATAAACTTTCCCAGACTTTGAGCTTTTCCTGTGGAAGTGTAATGAATTCAACTTCCTCCTCAATATTTAGGCATTTCGGTTGTGCGCGCTCCGCATCGTTCGCTTCAACCGGTTGCCAGCTGGTCGATGCGATTTCCTCACAATTCGGATTGCCTGTCGTAGCAAATGCTGTCCACATACCAGTCATACGTTGAACTGTATTGAATTCATCACTGTGCGACGATAATTTACCCGCACTCACATTGTAGAAGAGGTAGGAGAGATCATCGGCATGCGAAACGCCACGCACAGACTTGCCACAATTCAAAATGCGATAATGATTGAAATGTGGCGAATCGAATGCAAAGTGATAGAGGTAGGTGGGTACATTGGGAGCATAGGCCATACGAGCCAAAAGTGTGCGGTGAATGTCACTGAAGAAATGTCTGTAAGACACCATCTGAAAAGCGAAAGAAAAGGAAACAAGCAAAGCAAAGGAATTGATATTCGTTGTTGCATTTCACAATGCTTACTCACTTCTAAGTAATTATCGAATGTATCGTTATGATGTGGCACTTTTTCACCAAAATGTGCTTCCTTAATTCGTAGCGCCAGCTCTTTTTGTTCATGTGCTTCACGCTCACCTTTCACTGCCGTTGGCAGCATATGCACGAAATCAGCTAGTTCGTTAACCAAATATGGTTTGCGCTTAGTTTCAGCATAATGAAAGAGTCCTTCGTGCGTATTTGAACCGAGTATTACAGGAATCTCATTACTCCAGGCAGTAATGAGTAGATCTTTAAAAGGCTTCGCCAGCAGGCAGTCAGCACTTTCGTATGGTTCCACGAGCGGCGTGAAGGCAAACATAATACGCTCATGTTCTTCTTGCGGTAATATCAAACGGTTTTGTGCGCTTACAATTCTCGAAGCGCTTGTATTCGAGAGGAAACGAAATACTTCTTTATCGGCATTTCCACCCTTATATCCCAGCTCGACGGCAAGTCGAAAAGCCCAGTCTCTCGGTTGTGCTTCAACCCACGGGCAGAGGGCGGAACCCGATTGCAAGATGGCTTTATGGAAGAGCCCTTGTGCTTTTGGCGCTAGCATAAGCAGATGTGTAGAAGCGGCACCCGCACTCTCACCAAAAAGTGTGACATTATTTGGATCGCCATTGAAATTGGCGATGTTCTCTTGAATCCAGCGCAGAGCAAGCAATTGATCTTTCAGGCCTGCGTTGCCGGGTACTTGTAAATCTGGATCGTTCAAGGAGAGGAAACCTGTGGAAATGAGGTAGGAATTGTAGATTATTTAAAACTTGAAATAAAGTCGACTCTGAAGTTAGCTGTAGCTTTTTGTGACTGATATTCCATTGATAATTATGTCAAAAAGTTGTAACCTCTGGAATTTTATTATAGAGAACACACCTAGCGCGCCTAGTCTATAGTTGACTGTTACCAGTACGACATCTCGCTCCATGAAATAATCCGGCGCATAAAGATCTCGCGTAGCCTCGCCAATCTGATAGGCTCCGCCGTAGATCCAAACCATTACCGGCA